AATGAAGAATATAAAAATATAGTAATCAATTACGAAGTTATATTTAAAAACTCATAAAGATGGAGATATGAAAAATAAAAATTCACTTACAACTTCATATTGAAGAATATTCATCTTGTAACTATAATAATTTACATATTTCTCAACAAAAAGAAGATGAATATGCATGAAATTTTAAAGAATAAAAATAAATGAATCAGTAAGAATTTCTACAATTACAAGTTGGTAATGAAAATTTGACAAATTATGTAGACTAATTAGCCTAATGTAGAATGCAAGATAATCACAAATTCAAATGAAAGAAAGAAATATAAATTATGTTGTGTGAGTGTCTTTGATAGACTCTTCATTACCCCCACTTATCTTACAAATCAAAATTAAAGGTTATTAGGCTTTTCATTACCCACATTTAAGATATTGCATTAAGTCGAAGTACATATGATTGCATTAAGATCTTGGTTGATGCTTGAATTTAAATATAACTATTACTTAATATTTAATTAAATAAATAGATATTAATATTTAATCTATTTTAGGGGTAAGATAAGGACAAAATGGTAATCCAACTTTGAGGTTAGGAGCTTCCCACTTATAATAATATATATGATATGATGATATGATGATATGAAGGGTGAACTGTGAATAAACAAACATCGCTATTAAGTACTAATTTAATTATATAAATTATAATCATAGGTTTCAATTGAGTATTGCTTCTTTTTTTTAAAAAAAATTGATTCATTTCTATGAATTTTCCATTAGATCTACGAGCATCACTAAATTACACTATTTTCCTTATTAATTGTTGTGTTTTCTTTATTGTTTTCTTCTTTTTTTATTTGAGTTTTATGCACTTGAACTGACGTATTTCATAAACAACCTCTCTAACTCCACGAGGTAGTGGTAAGATATTTGTAGATTTTACCCTCCTTGGACCCTACTTAGTTGAATTTCACTGGATATGTTGTTGTTGTATGGAAAATTAAGATTAAAAAATTATGAAAAAACTCATTCTTTTGTTTGAAATGGAGTAAAAGAAAAATAGGTTAAACAAATTGAAACACAAAGAACTAACTATTTTGCCATGTTCCGATTTTAGTTATCGACTCCACTCGATTACATTTGATGTTCAAGAATTCAGCGCATAACTGTCAGTATTGTTGCAAGCTAACTGAATGATTGATACTATAACGAATTTACCTCCATTATAGACTTTGACCCCAAAACGGACACTCTTTGAACGTTACAGACCAAAAGGGACCCTCCCTAAAAAAAACACATACCAAAACAAATACTTCGCTTATCTAAGGATGAACTGTGATAAACAAAGTTAACTTCAGTTAGTTCACCCCAAAATTCAAAAAAAAAACATTACAAATTTTTAAATGTACGTAGTTCACCCCCAATGGGCAAACTACAATTCTTTTTATTAAGTTAACCATTTCTCCAAGATTCATCTTCATATCAAACTTATCTTTCTATCTTCTTCTTATTATTATTTTTCTTCTATAAATTAAAGGCTGTTGTAAAACTTAAGGACAAAAGAACAATATAAAGAACAAGAGAAGAAGACTATAAGACAAGAGGAACAATATAAACTAACATTCTTTCTTTCAATTGTCATCAACATTATTCTCAACACCACTATTTATAGGATTACATTGAGGAATACCAAAGGGTGTCATAAACATTACATTAAACCTTGAGAATTACTACCCATTAAGGAGGAAATAAACCTAGGAGTTATGGTCATCCAATTAACTATATTATCAACAACATTACTACCAATAAAGGATGAAATTAACCTAGGAGTTATGGTCATCCATTTGACCACATTATCAACAACATTACTACTCATAAAGGAGGGAAATTAACCAAGGAGTTATGGTCATCCATTTAACCACCAAAA